CTTCCAGGAATGGCTTCTGCTCTGGGGTGGGCCAGTCCACTTGGTGTTTATGGAAAGATGCCTCAGTGGTCTAGTTTTGGACACCCCGCCTCCCTTGGCAGATTCCGGCAATCAGCTGTCACCTTGGGTTGGTGGGACAGGTCCCTCGAGGGCACAAACCATGGAAGGCTGCATCTCAAAGGCCAACTCTAGAGCTGGTCGTGCCTGTGCACCTGGACACGCTGCTGATGACCCAGCCGCCCCAGCCAGGCATGCACCCAAGCCTCTACCCTTGTGGAGTAGAACTTTCTGCAGGGGAAAGAGCCATGAACATGAAATCAGCCAATACAGAGAATTTGTGATTTCTCTCCAAGCCCAATGGAAAAAGAAAAATACACCGAAGTGGCTAGTCACCTAAGAGCCCTGATTTATATTCTACTTTAGTATCTCTTCCAAGGAAATGGAAGGTACATTTTCATCAAATATAATCATTTACAGCTTGTAAAGGGGGGACAAACTGCTCTGTGATGGCCACCTGGGCTACAGATGAAACGGAAGACATGTCATAACACAGCTAGTCCCTCTAGCAGTCACCCCGAGGCAGGTGGCCAGAACTGTCTTCTCTACTGGGGATTATCCCCTAGGCGGGGGTGAGGGTCCCACACAGCCTGGGGTTTTGCAGCCGTGTGGCCTAGGGTGAGGGAAACAGAGCAAGACCATTCCCAAAGTTGGGGGGGGAAGCGACAGGGGTGCACTCACGGGCTGTGGATGCCACGGCATCAGAGGCCAATCTAGGCCGTACTTCTGATGACCCCCTCTGGCCCCACTGTTTGGTTTTTGAAAACTTTCAAGGTGAGGGTGAGGAAATTCATGAGGTGCAACCAACTGAAATCTATCACGTGAGTGCACTTGCCTGCCCCGGATGCACAACTTGTTCACTCTGGTGACAGAAATGAAGCAGAAGAATGCTTAAGATCTTCTGGGGTCTCCATTCTCTGGTGTCCCTTCCCTAGTCCAAGGGCCATGGACTAAACAACCCGAGGTCTAGGGCCCCAGAGAGAACTTCGTCTTCCTGGTGTTCACGCAGGAAGAAGGCATTAGTGGGATCTGCTCTAAGGCTGTGCAAAGCCCAAGTGTGGGCTCATTCTTCATCCAATAAATACTGAATGAAGGCACAATGCTAGGTGCTGAGGTACAGCAATAAACAGGACAGACCAGGTGTCCATGGAAGTGACCTTCTCCGTGCGGAAGAAAGACCGCAGCCTGGTACCCAAACGTATCATCCAGGTAAAGAACTGCAGAGAAAATAAACCAGGCTAATGGGATGGAGGAAGGAGGGGTGGATCAGGAAAGGCCTCTCGGAGGAGGCGGCATGCAGACTGAGGCCTGTGCAGTAGGAAGAGGCAGCCACACACAGATCTGGGGAAGAACATCCAATGAGGAGGCCCTAAAGCAGGAGAGAGGCCAGTGACTTGGAGGAATGGTTCTAAACCAGTCTGGAGAACCTTGGGGCCCTCCCAGGGTCAGAACTACTCACATAAAAATAATAACAAGAACTACTCACACAAAAATAAGACAGCATTTTCCTTTTATATTCACTCTCCCAGGAGTATACGGGGGAGCTTTCCAGAGGCCACACAGTGTATGCTATGACAACAGATTAAAAGCAGAAGCAGATGCAGGAGTCCAGCTGCCTTCTATTAAGCCAGATATTACAGAGATTTGCAAAAATAGAAAACATGAAGTTTGTGTTTTGTTTTTTTTTTGCTTTGGAAAACAGTTATTGTTCATTAAAAACTATGTTATTTATATTTACATGTGATAGGTGTATTTTTATTTAAAAAATAAATATGTAAATAGTTAAAGCATTTCTCAGTTTTAATTTGTCCTACCTGAAATATTAATAAATATAATCCACATAAACTCTACCTCTTTGGGACCCTTGATACTTTTTCTTAAGGGTCTAAAGGGGATCCTGAAGCCAAAACTTTGAGAAGCACTGACTCAGAGGAGCAGCAGGGGCTGGTATGGCTGGGGTATGGGATGGAAGGAAGGGGGGGGGGCTGCATCTGAGGGGCCAGCTGGGGCCAATCTCATAACAACCACACAAGACCGAGTGAGAGATTCGGATTTTGTTCCAAGTGCAACGGGAAGCTGCTAGAGGGTTGCAGAGAGGGGCATGATGAGATCTATGTTCTAGAAAGATCCCTCTGGCCAAAGGGAAGAGGTGAGGCTGGATGCCTGAGAACACTGAAGAAGCTCCTGCATGATCTAGGGCGAGGGCTGGTGGCCAGGACAGGGAGAAAAGTTGGGATGTACTCTGGAGGCAGAGGAGGCCAGTGGGGATGGGACGGGAAAGAGGAGGATCAAGGATGATTCCAGATGCTGGGCGGCTGTGGGGCAGGCTACAGAGATAGCAGGTGGTGAGGAAGGGCAGGGCGGGGAGAGCTCCCCTCCCTCTGTCTGAGTCACGCTGAGGCTCACAGATTTCACTTGCTCTCCAATACAGGCCATTTCGGGAAGGCAGCAAGGCCTCTCTCCCCAAGGGCCCAGAGCAGTCACCCTTGGGGGCACAATTGGGGTGAATGGCCCACTCTCCACCCCGCAGCTGAGCGGCACTTCCAGGGGCTGTCAGGGGCGAGAGACAGGGAAGGGGCAGATGGCCAGTTTCGGCAGCTACCTTTGCCCTGCCACAGTCTCAAATACCCCAACCCTGGGACCAGCAACAGGAGAGAGGCATTCCAGCTATGCCAGCATCCCTGCCAGGCAGGCCCAGGCCATGGTAGACAGGACCATACCCCCAGCACTAGATGACCTCACTTTTCCCCTGGAGCCCAGGCAGGGTGGGAGAAGTTAGCAATCAGGCATTGTAAAGCCTTCTGCAAACAGAGAGATGATTATGCAGATGCCGAAGAATGTGACATTTGGCTCTAACTATTTATTTACACTTGCCTTGTTCCAAAAAGGATGGAACGGAAATAAGGCCGGGGTTTTTCTCCTTAACCCATTCATTCCTGAGATGAAACCCTAATGACCCTAAAGAAATGATTTCTTAATATAATGTCTGATGTCAGTTATATCTCAATTACAAAAATCACAAGGCAGTGCTTATAGAAATGTTATAAAAATTATAACTGTGTGTAAAAAAAAAAAAAAGAACTAATGAAAGAAAATGGAATGATTTCTTACCAAGCCGATCTTTATTTAACCCAGACTCATGGCCATCATTTATATTTACTTAGCAACCATCCCTACAGAACGTGAAGAAACCTGGACAATTTTTAACAGAGAATCCTCCAGGGGCGCCTGGGTAGCTCAGTCGGTTAAGCGTCCGACTCTTGGTTTCGTCTCAGGTCATGATCTTGTGAGATCAAGCCCGGCGTTGGGCTCCATGCTTAGTGCAGAGTCTGCCTGACATTCTCCCTCCCTCTCTCTCTGCCCCTACCCACCCCTCAAATAAATAATCTTAAAAAAAAAAAAAAATCGTCCAGACCCTGGAGTAGGCACAAATCATCTCCTATTTCATAGCTGAAAATGGAGGTGGTGCCACAATCGTTCTTATAGACCAAGACTGGTTTCAAGGATGGAAACAGTCACAGACTAGTGGGTGGCAGTGTGAACCGGTACACTTTTCCAGAGCGCACGTTGGGACTACATATGTCACGAAGAAAAGCCTCCCCTTCGACTCGGCAGACCCACTGCTGAGAATTTATCCCACAGACACTCAAGATTTGCAACAGTTATATCAAGGCCCCGAGGATGTTCTCTATGACACTGGAAGAGCAAAACACTGGAAATGACCCAAATGTCCATCAATGCAACACGATATAAAAGATCTTCTTGTCCAGCCATACAATAAAATACCATACAAGAGTTAATTATTAATTAGCATGAAGTCAATCTATATGCATTGACATGTAACACTGAATTAAGTGGGGGGTAAAAAGGCAAGGTGCAGAATTACATATATGGTATGACCCCATGTGTAAAAACTGACAAGAAAAAACATACATGGCATAAAATGAACATTTCTAAAATGATAAGCAAGGAACCGGTAACAGTGATTCCTTCTGGGGCAAAGCTGACTCATTTCTCATTTTATCATGTCCTGCTTGGGTTTTAAAATATCATATACTTACAGTATATATATTTCTAAAATAAATTAATGAAATCAAAGAACGAATATAGGATAAATCAGAGTGGAAGGAAAAGAAGGACCCTGATTTTGGACAGGTCCTTACGGCCGCACTTTAAATCAACAGCTGTTCTTAAATCGATAACTGCTTTCAAACACATTTTGCAACGTATCAACTGAAGTTCGAAACCCCAAACGCTTGCAGGGGACAGCCTGGACAACTTTCAGAAGTTTTGTAATCAAGGGCAAGGTTCTCTTTCGAGGGATCGGGGTGCACATGGATTGACTTAAGGTAGACGCACCAGAACAGGAAGGGGAAAGCCCGCCGGCCCTTTTGGAGAAGCAAGCTGCCCTTGAACTTTCTCTTTGTGTTTCTTTTTTTGGGAGGGGGTTGGTTTCAAGATGAGCACTGGAGAGAGTGGGCAGAGGTGCCCCCAGCTCCTGGATGGAAGACCCTGCCTGGCACAGCCCGTGGGGAGCTCTCACTTCTTCAGGGGCTCTAAGAGGAACCATGCATACTGTCTCTCTAGTCATCCTACATGGAGAAGGAAACCACTCCCCCACAACCTCATTACTAGCAATCTAAGTATTTCCAAGAAATTTCCAAGAAACTTCTTAGTCTTAATTCTGAGAAGTTCCTCCACATTCCCAGAAAATCTCTGGAAAACCAAACCCAGGCAGCAGAATACCAAAGAGAAAGCCAAGATTTATTTCTAGGGCTTGTGTTTCATCCTGTGCCATACTTTGATGAATCCTAAGAAATGGGTGCTTCCAGCCGAACGGACTCTGAGAGGCGCAGGGAAGCTCGCTCGCACAGGCTCCACAGAGAGCAAGCCCTGGAGCCCCAGGCGGGGACGAGAGGCGGCGCGGGGTGGGGGCGGCTTACCTGGCACCTTGTCCACTGACGCGAACACAGAGCGCTGCACCGTGGGGTCGCTGCTGCCCCGGCGGCACTGGTCGTAGAAACGGAAAGGCAGGTGCTGGGTAGAAGAGGAGGAGCCAAGTCTGAACCCCAGGACTTCGGTCGTCGGCTGGATCGGGAGGTCCAGGAGGGCTACGTTCAAACAACACCGTGGTTCATGCTCATCGCGTGGGCCACGGGTACAGGTGGCGGCCTCTGGGTTGGGGGGGTGCGGCACGCGCAGCCAGAGTGGCCGCAGCTCTACCAGGCATATCACTCGGACAGTGCCAAGCAGGCAGCCAGCAGCCTCAGGCTGGGGAGACCCAGGTGACCCCAAAGGTTCCTCCTGAGCTCAAAACACAGTTGGTGCCTGGCGAGGGATTCAGAGATGGATGCCAGCCAGTCTCCGCTCTGGATCCTTGGCTTCCGCACGCAAAAGACCCTTGCCAGGCTTCACCGCGGGTGTCATTTCAGACCCCAAAGCAAACGGGGCCAATTCTGCCCTGCAAGTTCCCATATGTACATGCGCATGGGGAAGAGTGTGTGAGGGCGAACCTACCCGCGTGTGTGTGTATGTATTTATGAGCGTGTGCTTATCTGTCACACTTGCCGTCTTCCCTGGCATAAACCAATCTCATGATATAGCAATTTGGAGGAGCTTTTTAAAATCAATTTAAGGAATACCCAAGGCGTTAGTTCGAACAGCCACTTTATGGCATAACTCTCAATTTTCAAATGAAATATCTACCCTTCGTGCCAGCAGTGAGAAATTGCTTTACATTAAAAACAACAACAACAACAACAAACCTTCTGAAAATAAATCTTCAGAGAAAGGACTGAATGATTTAAGTCACTTTGCACATTACAAAATGCTTCTGTAATGATTTCATAGGCCAAGTTTCAGCTAAGTGAGAAATGAAACAGGGACTGCCTGGGACGCAGGCCTGGGCAAATCAACAGGGCAGGCACGGCAAAGAACCGAATCTGTCATGTCCAGAGGACCCAGCCCACCAAGTGTTTATTTTTCGGTAATCCCTTTAGAAGGCGCCCCTCCTCCCCAAGCCGGCTGGAAATCCTCCCAGCAACCACACCAGAATGACCATCGGTGCTTGGACTGAAAGGCGTTGGTGTCTGGAGAAAGACTATTTATAATTTGAGCAGCTAGACAGAATGCCTTTCCCTGGGGGAATGCCGTGCTGTCAGCCCTGATGAATGGAACGCCCTCGTTTCAGTGCCTTGATTTCTAAGAAAGCTCGAGCCTTCCTGCAAGGGGCAGCATTAGGCCTCCTCACAAATCCACCACAGTGCCTGTGACGCGTACACCGACTTCTGAGTTTAGTGCTGGGTCATTGTGGCCCTCTCACCAAGCAGGGCTGCCTCTCACGAGAGCTGGAGGGAGAGGGGGAAGGGATGAGCTTTAGAGTCAGAAGTTCTGCATTTGGGTTCTGCCAACTCGCTCCTTGTGTGACTCTGGGCAAGTCACTGAGCCTCAGTTTACTCTTCGGAGAAATGGGCAAAACAGACCCTACTAATCTTAAGGTTAAGGATCAAAGGCAGAAGAGGAATGTCCAAGCATTTTTAAGTATAAGCTAGAAGATCCTGTGTGCCGGAGAACAGCTCTCCCACACGGACACCTGACTGCTCATGGCCTCTTGCTTGGTTAGGGAGGATTCTCCTTCCCTTCCATGTAGCCCTAGAAACTCTATAGAAATCGAACACCTGGGGAATGGGGAATTCTGAGCAGATTCTCTGTCCTTTCACCAGAACACAATGAACTCCTAAACCATAGGTGTCCTCTTCTAGAGGTCCATGTGAGAGCCCGAGGGCTCCAAGGACAGCCACCAGAGTTGGCCACTCACCGGCTATCCTCTGCATCTTCATGCGCCTTGCCTGGATGCGGCCCTTGGCCAGGCGCTGCTTGGCAATGATGCAGCGGATGTGGTCTGAGAACACGAAGGTGGCCTGGAGGATCGGGAAGGGCTTGGAGTGGGGGCTGGACGCAGGCTTGTGGATGGTGATGTTCAGGGCGCGGCTGTCATCTTCCACGCCGGTCACCTGCATGTCCTATAGAAGAGGCCAAAGAAAGGGTGGTCGTGAGGTTTAGGAGGAGGGCAGTGGCTTGGAAGCTGTGGGGTCTACATCTTATCAAGAAAGGAGTTCCCCAGGGCACCTGGGTGGCTCAGTTGGTAAAGCGACTGCCTTCGGCTCAGGTCATGATCTGGATTCAGGATCGAGTCCCGCATTGGGCACCCTGCTCAGCGGGGAGTCTGCTTCTCCCTCTGACCCTCCCCGCTCTCATGTGCTCTCTCTCTCTCAAATAAAAAAAAAAAAAATTTAAAAAAGAAAAAAAAAAGGAGTTCCCCAAATTCACCTTGGCTTTTGCTCTGAAGGAGCAGCCTCCCAAGCCTGAGTCAAGGATGGGCCCACACCAGACCAGGCCTTTCGGAGAGGACAGGCAAAGGGAGTCCATGCTGGCTGTGAGGGCTGGGACCCTACTCACGAGGACCTGAGTAAGCTAGTGAATAAATGGGTGCCCCAGCCTCATCAAGGGGCCATGGGGGCTCAAACAGTCAGACTCCCAGCAGTTCTGACTTCTGAGAAATGACAGATAACAAACCAAAATGCCTATGGCCATCTGATGTGATCTTAGATATACTCACGCATCTTCTGACCAGCTTCTTCCTGGCTTCTCTTAAGGGGGCATCCCTGGCACCCATTTGTATGTGCCTGAAGAATTTCTGGTCCCTAAAGGAAAATGCTAGCCCCGAGAAAGGGATAGGGAGGACCATTTATAAGGCACGTGAAGAAAGCTGCATTTCAAAGGTGCGGAAGAAAGCTCGCGCACAGCAAGTGCGCTAAGGACGGATCCCCTCTAAAACCTCAGAGTGGATTCTGTGCAAAGAATCTGCTTCCCACAAAAGTTTGAGGTGACGCAGGATAAAGGCATGAGACAGGAGGCAGACGCGAAAAGTCGGACGTGCTACAGGAGCTGGGGAAAATGCTAAGAAGGCTCCCCAAGTGAGATGGTTGCTGTTTGTAGGCATTAAATCTGGCACAGACTCTTTGGAAAGAATATCTGCCTCGGAATGTTGCGGTCGGGGATTAGATGAGATATTAACACATTTAAAGCGGAGAACCTGGCACACAGAAATGGCCTGACAAATAAACAGTAACTACTGGAAGGCGACCAAAAGGAAAGGTTTATGTGCCTTTCATTGTCTGATGGAGGACATGTATTAATCCTTCGAGGGAGAAAAACACTTTCCTGACACTAAATTCTAAAGGAAATTGATCCTAACTCTAGATAAATAAGAAGCACTAAGTCATCTAATGGACAACCTCTTACACGGGAGTCCTTTTTTTAAGTGAAAGATTCTTCATATAGTTTCTCACATCACCCTCTGTAAAAGACATTTTTTAAGTGGAAAGATCTGGAAAAAGAGGAGCTTGGGGAAATAGCATCTTCAAACACGTGGGCGGCTCCCTAAGAGAGTGGGATGCTGCCAGAAGGTCACACTGTGCAGAGGTGGACATGGGTTGGCCTAAGCAAGACCTTGCCAGCAACCAGAGACCACCCAGCAAGGAAATGGGCTGCCTCAGAGCAGGGCACCCCTCAGGCCGGGGAGAGTTGGCTGGATGCTCAGGGACTGGGGGTCCTGACAGGGGACAGGAGCTGGAAGGCTGTCTTCAGCATTTCTGGTTCTTCACTCCCTTCAGTTGATGAGCTGGCCTAAGTCACCCATCAGACAGCCACACATTGAGAAAACCCAAGTCCCAACTTGGTGTTTGGCAGTTTAGAGCCCATCTCTGCTTTCTAGAAAGGGGGTGAGGACAAGGGGACTCTCGTGCATTGCCGGTAGCAACAATCACTTGAGAGAGGAATTTGGCAGCATCTATGAACACCAAAAATAGGCACACCCCAACTTCTTGATAGCCGCCAAGGGAAACCCTTGCTCAGGAAGGAAGGACGGTTCTGTTCATGGCAGCACTGTTTGTAAATGGCCACAGCCACAGGGAACTAGCTAACTATGCCTTGTATGGTCACGCAGCAGTTAAAAGAATACTAGTAAGTCTGCATATACTAACATGGTCAGCTCTAAGACATCTATTGAATGAAAAAAAAGAGTTTAGAACACGTTCAGTGTGACACCATAAAACAACCCCCCCTCAAGTATGTGTATACAATGTTTATAAAGAGTACATGTAGTTGTATTTATATGTGTATTTGGCAGAGCACCAGCTCTGTAAGGACCATACTGACAATGCAGGAGAAAGTTTAAGAATTGAGGGTTTGGGTCAAAGAATACTTGACCCTTGTCTGTGCAGTATTTCAACTTTTTTTCAACGACAGTCTGTTCACGTATTCCTTGTATCCTCAGAAATTAACTGTAGAGATGATTCTTGTGTGTATGTTCGTACAGCCAATCAAGAAGAGCTTCCAGAGTCCTCAGCCGTCATACCTGCAGGAGGCCTGCAAACTTGACGACGCCCCAGCCAAGCCTGGACACATCGGGCTCCACTAAGCTCATCTGGTAAATATCGACAGCCAGGAAGCGCTGGACCATGCCGCCGTCCTTGGTGATCACGGTGCATGCGATCAGGTCGCTGTTGTCTGGGGAGAGGGAGAACAAAATGAGGCGCAGTCTGGTGGCCCAGCCTGATGGTGACAGGCTCACAGGCGGACTTGTGTTCTGGTGGGCAGCAGAGTTTGGTCAGAGCTGAGGCTCATTGTCGCATACCCCTGGGACTGAGTCCCTCCTCTGAGTCATACTGGGCAACTTTTTTTTTTTTTGGGGGGGTAACCTTTCTGGGTTTCACATTTCTCATCTGGTAAATGGGGATAATGCCCACCCCTCTCAAAATGATAACTGAATGAAGTACACAAAGCATTAGAACATTTACTGCACATGAGGCGCTCAAACTGTAGCTAAAAAACCAACAAACGGAGAATCCCTGTTAACATTTCAGTGCTTCCTTGCAGACAAATGGCGGTTGACAGTTGTGGTGGTATTTGCCTAAATTAAGTGAAGACAGGAAAACAAGAGCCCTTGCTTGGTTATATAACCATCAAGCTTCCAATCTTGTGTCTGGCACCTTAGATCCGAGCTTTGCACTAGATGGTGTGTGATCCTGGGCAAGGCATTTGGCCCCCATGAACTACAGTTTTCCATCTGTAAAATGGGAATAATCTCCCTTCTCTTGAGATGTTTGGTACTTTAAATGAGAACAGATTGGTAAAGCATTTAACCTAGAATCCTTACTGTAATCCTTCTCTTACTTGGAAATTATCCCCAAATTTGATATCTAATTTAGTGCCTATCCTTGATGCCTTTGACATCACCAGAGTAACACAGGACCATGTAATCTATGGTCTGCTTCGTATTTCCTCCAATGGAATCCTCTGCCCCATGTTTGGGGGAAAAAAAAAAAAAGCCAAAACAGGAAACAACCTAAATGTCCCCAAATAGGGGAAAAAGTTATGATTTTTTTCCCCCATCACATGCAAAATTATATACCCATTTAAAAAATAATGTTTAACCAAACTGTGAACAGTGGTTGCCTATGGAAAGGGAAGTGAGAATTGATGGCGGAAGTGCATGTATGGGGTGGGGGTATCAATGGGAGAACTTAAATGTTTGTACCATATACCACTGTATTCCTTGAAATTATTTTACAATGAGAAGGTACTCAAGATGTAGGAAAGAAAAAGCATCCGTTATAGTTTTGTTTTCTATTTAAAAAGGTAAAAGAGGGTGCCTGGGTGGCTCAGTCGTTAAGCGTCTGCCTTTGGCTCAGGTCATGGTCCCAGGGTCCTGGGATCGAGTCCCACATCGGGCTCCCTGCTCAGCGGGAAGCCTGCTTCTCCCTCTCCCACTCCCCCTGCTTGTGTTCCCTCTCGCTGTGTCTCTCTCTGTCAAATAAATAAATAAAATCTTTAAAAAAAAATAAAAATAAAAAAAATAAAATAAAAAGGTAAAAGATTGTCATTGAGAAAAATGTTTTTCCTCAGTCAGTACAGCATGTGACTCTTGATCTCAGGGCTTTAAGTTCGAGCCCCATGTTGGGTGTAGAGATTACTTAAAAATAAAATCTTTTAGGGCCACCTGGGTGGCTCAGTTGGTTGAAGAGCCGACTCTTGATTTTGGCTCAGGTCATGATCTCAGGGTCCTGGGATAAAGCCCCGTGTTGGGCTCCGTGCTCAGCAGGGAGTCTGCTTAAAGATTCTCTCCCTCTGCCCCTCCCCACTCAAGTGTGTTTTCTCTTTCTCTAAAATAAGTAAATCTTTTTAAAAAAAATGAAGCACATATTAAAAACCCAAGTTCAATCCTATTTGCAAATAACAGCAATGACATCGGAAAAGACATTAAAATTTGAAATGAAGGATAAAAGTTGTATTATTGTGATTTTGCTATGTTAAAAAAAAAAGTATCCCTACAAAGAAAATACAAGTGCAGAAAATAGAACTGAAACATTAGAAGAACTTTCTTTTTTTTTTTAAGATTTTATTTATTTATTTGAGAGAGAGAATGAGATAGAGAGAGAGAGCATGAGAGGGAGGAGGGTCAGAGGGAGAAGCAGACTCCCCGCCGAGCAGGGAGCCCGATGCGGGACTCGATCCCGGGACTCCAGGATCATGACCTGAGCCGAAGGCAGTCGCTTAACCAACTGAGCCACCCAGGCGCCCAAGATTTTATTTATTTATTTGAGAGAGAGAATGAGAGAGAGAGAGAGCATGAGGGGGGGAGGGTCAGAGGGAGAAGCAGACTCCCTGCCGAGCAGGGAGCCCGATGCGGGACTCGATCCCGGGACTCCAGGATCGGGACCTGAGCCGAAGGCAGTCGCTTAACCGACTGAGCCACCCAGGCGCCCCTAGAAGAACTTTCTGATTAGAAGAATGGTACGTGGGCTTTTTTTTTGGAAGCAGCTTTACTGAGTTATAATTTATATACCATAAAATGCACCCATTTTTAAGTGTACAGTTGGAGTTTTAGCAAATTTACAGCTGTGCATCACTGCATTCCAGCTGTGGGACACCTGTGTCACCCCAGTGAGTTCTGTCGAGAGTGCTGTAACCAAGTTTTTGACTTAAATGTATTGGTGGTGGGTGGGTTGGGGAGGGGAGGGAAGGTAACAGAGACAGTAGAAATCCTGGCCCCAAACGCAGGTGATGACAAACTTGGGCTCAGGCATTCCCCAAGGATGCCCCCCCCGCCCCATTTTTACTTTTCCTCCAGATCTACAGAGGATAGGTAAGTCTCCTCTCTCGGCACCACCTCCCCAAATACAGCTCAGTTTAACGCTCTGAAGGCTAATCTGTTTGGGATTGTGGCTTCATGGGGATGTCTTCCTGTGTACCCTCTGGGCTTTTAATAAAGCTTCATGCTCCTGTGTGTTCTCCCCGGGGCAAGCCCGCCTAGGACGGCTGGCAGCCCCGTGGCAAACACCAGCACCAGGCAGGATTAACTCTCTGCGTGGTGCTTTCTCCTTATTCTGTGGCAGGAATGTTCCTCCCTTTCCCAACGACCCAGCCAAGGACCTTAAAAGATTTCTAAAAATGATGTCATCCAGAATGTCCGGTGAATACCTTACTGGAAGACAGGTAACGCTCTGTATTCAGAAGTGAAGCCAGCCTCTTCACTCTTACCAGCATGTTCTCTGGGGCACATGGTTTATTCTCTTTACTCAGTACTTAAAACATTTTCCTCAATGACAATCTTTTACCTTTTTAAATAGAAAACAAAACTATAACGGATGCTTTTTCTTTCCTTTTTCCATTTCTCTCCCCCGCTCCTCACCTTCCCCTCCCTAAGCAGTCCTCCTAGGATTTCTTCTCTCTTCCCATTCATAGAAGATATGCCCCTGAGGGTGTGACCCGGGAAGGCAGGGAGGCCATGGGTGTAGGTGGCAATGGGGTTTGTAGGTAGGCAACCCCCTCATAAAGCCCGGGGACCTTAAAGGCTTCGGGGGGGGGGGGCGCAGAAAAAGACCCACCATCTCCACCACTAAGAACAAAAAAGGAAGGACAAAACCCCAAAGCAGAACAACTTTCAGAAATGCAATTGAGAATCAAACCCCCATGAGGGATTTCATAAGAAAATGAAAATGCAATCGTCCCCAGAGAGCAGTCCCCAGGGAGCAGGGAGGGAGCCTCTGGCTTTTCAGAAGCTTTGGGGCAGTTGCGGGGGGAGGAGGGGAGAAAGGAAGCTTCCTCCTGGGAGACCAGGGAATTGTCCTAGGCACTACCCTAGGGAATGCTGGTGGGGGGGGGGGGGCGCGTGCTCATCTGTGGGCCTCTCGGTGTCATCTCTGGGGAACTCCTTCCCCACCTCAGCCCTCAGCTGCTCCCACGCTGGCTATGGACATTCCCTGTGTGGAGCCCTGGGGACAGGGGCTGTCTGCTCATCTCTGGACGGCCATAGTGTCTTGGGTGGAGGAGGACCCAACGGAGAGCTGCTGAACAGAACCCAGTCCCACCCACAGTCTACTGCTATGCCAGGCGCCCTGAATTTCGCTCCAAGACAGAGGAGCCAGGCCAGTGCTGAGGTACCAGGAGGGACGTGGGGACAAGGGGAGGACTTCCACAGTGTGAGGGAATCATGAGCCTCCCTGCCTCCCTGCCTGACTCCCAGCCTGTGGCCTGCACACTGGCACTGCCCAGATCCCGCTGCCCATCCGAATCCGCAGGGTCCCTCCCCCATCAACTTCACTTCAAAAGGGGTAGGGCCTAGGATTCTCGTTTAAAAATTTACAGAAAATTGCCAGAAGACAATATAGGAGAATATCCATATGCTCTTAGGGGCAGGGAAGGGTTTCTTTAAAAAGAAGTAAGAATCAACACATAACAAAAAAATAAACACGAGACTGGGAAACTGATTACATCAAAATTGAAACTTAACGCATATATAACAAATGACTTTACAGACTCAGTGAGATAATTGGAAAATATCTCTAAGAGCCAAAGATCTCGCAGTAAATGTGAAGGACTCCCACAGGCCATTCACAGATAAGAGAATGGAGACAGCCAATGAACACACACAAAGGTGCTCAACCTCACGAGAAAACAGGAAAAAATTTAAACAAGATCTCAACCTTCTACCCGTCGACTGGGAAAAAGAAAGGTGTTGGTGAGGACACAAAGAAGCCAACATTCTCAAACACTGCTGGTAGGCGAATAAGCTAACATAGCCACTTTGAAGGGTACATTAGCATTGTTTATTTAAACTGAAACTTCCACACCATATGACCTGGCAAGTGTAGTTATGTTCCCAAGAAAACACACACAAGGGCCAAGAGACGTGAACAAGGATGTTGACAGCAGGATTTGGGTCTACAGTGACCCAAATCTCCCACAACAAGGGAAAGCCTAAAACAAAACAAAACAAAACAAAATCACACATGTCCATTCAGTGCAAAACCAGCGACAACAAGGAATGACTTAGATCTCTGGCTATTCCAACACGGTGAAGCCTCAAGGATATACTGTGGAGTGGAAAAAGCAAGCTGCAGTATGACACGCACAGCAGAATGCAATTTGTATAAAATCAAGCCTCACAGAACCAGGCTGCCTATTTTCTACGGGTTCCTGCATGTGGGTGTAAAAGAGAAAGTTAA